TTTGAAAACTTGAAATTGGATTTGAAATTTTGAAAACTTGAAATTGGATTTGAAATTTTGAAAACTTGAAGAAATTGGATTTGAAATTTTGAAAACTTGAAATTGGATTTGAAATTTTGAAAACTTGAAATTGGCCTCCAGTGTGTATTTTTTTGTTCCAGCCACGTTTTCTGGTCGGAGTTGAAGGCGCGCTACAGGGGATTGACAAGGCGGGCATCTGAAAGAGAGCAAAAGCTTGGAAGGGGAGTGAGCAGCAGAGAGGTGAAGGGGTGGTGGAGGCTCTCTGGTCGGAGTTGAAGGCGCGCTACAGGGGAGCGACAAGGCGGGCATCTGAAAGAGAGCAAAAACTGAGAAGGGGAGTGAGCAGCAGAGAGGTCAAGGGGTGGTGGAGGCTCTTGTAAGGAGGGGTCAACGGAGGAAAGGGCTAAGGGAGGGGGAGAAGTGTGTTCGAGACATGGGGTGCTAAGTTTAGCGGGGAGGAGGAGGAAATCCTACGACACACAAGTCGATCCAATTGTCAGAAGGGTTAATTGAGTGCAAGAAACGTACAGAGGAAAGGGGGAGGACCCCGGGGGGGGGTGGGGGGGGGGGGGGGGGTGCGGGGCGGCAACGCAGAGAAGGAGAAGACATAGAAGCCTGGCAGTTTGATGGTATAAAAAACGGGTGACTTGCAGAGAGGGAGGGAGAAAGGAGAAGTAAGAAGTAAGGAACAACGAACTGAGGAACACTGAAAGGAGGGTAGGAGAGAGAAGCAATGGACGTCGTACTGCAGCCTGCTCTGGCCAGTACGACTCGAGCTGCATCTGCCTCTGTCTTTCCTGCTGGGAGTCCGTTCGGCAGTGGCTATGGTAATGGCACCATCCTGAGGGAGATGGATGGCCACCATAGCCGATCAAGAGCCTCAGAGTTGTTGCCAAATAGCTTGCGTTCCGGTTCGGCTATGGTGGCCACAACTCGTGTTGATGCCGATGTGGCTATGGAGGTTAGGAGCGGGGACATGAAAGTGTTGTTGTCAACAAGGAGGAAGGCCAGAGAGCAGGAGAAGAGGTTCCGAAGGGGAGTGGTGGTCCTTCAGGAGGGCCTAGCAAGAAAGGCGGGGAGTGGCAAAGGAGGCAGAGGATCGATGACGAGGAGGAGTGCGATTTGTCACCCTTTGGGAAATGCGGGGTGGTTGCCCGGTAAGCGGGGGGGGTATCGCATCTTTGCAGGGCTTGGAGGGGTTAACAGAGAAGGAGGTGGTGATGGCTGGATGAACGGAGGATGGGAATCGAACAAAGGCGAAGATCAGGGGTGTGAAACTGGACCTTCTAAGAGGGAAGATGATACCAAGGAGGGCAGCAAGGAGGAGGAGGAGGAGGAGGAGGAGGAGGAGGAGGAGGAGGAGACGGTTGGGAGGAGCATGGGGTCTGTCCTGCTTCCCTGGAATATCGACCACTCGGCATTCACAAACTGCAAGTCGATTATCAGAAAAAAAGGTGAGAGTATACTAGAAAACTAGTAACTGACACTCGCTTTTCGTTTCTCTCCCTCATAACCGACACCTTTCGTTTCTCTCCCGCCCTCACACGCTTCCTCGCCCAACACTGCATTCCCCGCTGAATTATGTAAATAGTCGAAATCAATTTCTGCATCCTGATAAACTCGTTTTGCTTTTCTTCCTCCTTTTCCTTTTGTCTTGCAATGGGCTGTTAGATGTGACATGATCCTGCCCAATCCTCGACGCAGAACTCGGAAGTTTTGAACTCGAAGTGCAGATGTGAAGCGTCTGCTTTTCGAGCTTCTATGAACGTGCTTAACTTTGAGTGAATGCCTTTTTTTGTCATAATTAAAGAAGTAGAGTCAGAAGAAGAAGATTAAGAAGACGATGACGACGACGACGGCGACGACAAAGAAGAAGAAGAAGAAGAAGAAGAAGAAGAAGAAGAAGAAGAAGAAGAAGAAAAGGAGAAGACGGCGAAGAAGAAGAAGACCACACTAACAATGAACAAAGGAATGGACAAGCATCAATGTCCAAAAGATCCTCTTACTGCCTTCGTAGAAAGATCTCGCCTTCCGTCCTCCTCTCTCTTTCTCTCTGTCTCTCTCCCTCTCTCTCTCTGTGTCTCGCTCTGTCTCTCTCTGTCTCTCTCTGTCTCACTCTCTCTCTCTCTCTCTCTCTTCTCACCGCCAAGTTGAGGTGGTAGCTATGGCGGATCATCCCTGATGAATGCGAATGTTCAAAGGACAACAGTATGACTGCTATGTTTATCCCTTCTCCTGCTGCCATAGCTTGCCTTGTAGATGAAGTCCAAGACCAGACGGTTCCCAGCAGGTCATACAGACTCAGAAAAAACACAGCAAAATGGAATCAAACTCTAAAATCTCAGCAAAACAGATCAAAGGCAGCAACTTTCTCAGAAAGTGCAGATTGCTCAGTCTGTAACCGTGCGGGTCACATTGCTGGTCGTATTTTGAAGTACTTTCTGTAAATACTAAATTTAGTAAATTGCAATATAAACCGCTTTTGGCTGAGGGTCACCAGGGTCGCCTCTAAACACCACCGATTTTATTTTTTCTTTCTCTTTAAAGTTTAAACTACCGACGCCAGTACTTCTGAGCTACTTTTCTGCAGGGCTCCAAATGCCCTGCGCCCCAGGAAAAAGAACATGAACCGGTCTTGGCTGGCGCCGCCAGCCATTTTGCTCCTGCACACGACCCCCAAAAGTTGCACGCAGCCACTTTGGGAAACAATGGCGGGGAAACATAGTGGTGGTTTAAGAATTTGGAGAATTTTGGACCCTTTCGCGATTTGTGCGTGTCAGCCTTGCGCAGGGCACATGCTAACCTTTTGTGTATTGTTCCAATTCCAATGGATGCCCCGATATATCACCTTAATTCCGAGACGAAAAGCTATGGAAGACGTAAAGATGCAACCCCTCTAAACCAGATTTATATCCCCTATCCTCTGATCATGTAAAAGTTCCTTGCTATTTTATTTATCGAATTTTATCGAGGAATCTCGTCAGGAGGCTTTCAGGATCACAAAAAATCTGACTCGACTGTATTTGGTTCCCCCGGCTCACCTCCCCCTCTCCATTTTCTCTCTCCCTTATTGCAGACAAGTTTGTCTCTGATCTTGATGGAACTTCATCTTAGTGAAGCAGATGATTTTTTTTTTTTTTTTTTTTTTTT